GGCTCTCAAATTAAATTTTTCTTCCCTATACCCATCATACACCTCAACCCCTATCTCCCACAATAACTTGAAGTCTTCAATTAGAGGAGCTAAATAGACGTTTATGTCATTTCCGGGTTGTTTTGGCCCTAAAATTAGCATGGATAGCATCATGTATTTGCATTTCATACATAACCATGGAGGCAAATTGTAAATGATCAAAATCATTGGCTAAATGCTATGGGTACTACTTTGGAGCCCATGCGGATTCATTCCATCTGTATATAATGCAAGGCGTAAGTTCCCTTAATTCTTGTCTAAATTCAGGGTACTCATGATCAATCCTTCCCCATTGGGGAGAGTCAGTAGGATGCTGCAGTTTCCCATCTTTAATCCTCTCATCTACATGCCACGTTAAATTTTTTGCATCTTCTTTGCTACTATACAATCGTCTAAATCTAGGCACAATAGGAAAATGCCACAATGCCTTCTCCTGACTTTTCCCATTATCTTTGAAGCATGATGCTTTACATTTTGGACACTTAGTTAATGATTCATATTCATTTTTAAATAATATGCAATCATTTAGGCAAGCATGAATTTTCTCATAGCTCATGCCAATAGCACGTAACATTTATTTTGCTTGATACGTGTTAATAGGAAGCTCGTTCACTTTAGGTAGCATCACTTTAAGAAGTGCAAGCAATTCACTAAAGCTCTTATCACTCCAATCGCTACTCACTTTCAAGTTGTACAAACTTAACACCCCTGGCAATAATGTGAACTCAGTGCAACCATTATACAAAGGCTTTTCCGCATTACTTTTTAATCTCTCAAGCATTTTAGGACAATCCTTCAATTCCTCTTCAATTACCTTGGCCATCTCTTCAAGATGGTCTTCCTCATCAACCTCATATGTACTTGTATCAAAATCATGTGACAAGTAGCTCTTATTATAACCCCGGCTTGCATCTCTTGTCTCTCCATGTTTGTGCCAACACTTATAACTCTGATCAATTTCATGACATACTAAATGATCTTCTAATTCAGACGCACAAACTTGCTTCATCAGACAACATTTTACACAAGGCCATACTATACTAGTATGATCGTTTGTGTACTCAAGTGCAAGCTTAATAAACTCTTTCACCCCATTCAAGTATTCCTTCATTAATCGATTGGAAGACATCCATTCCTTGTCCATCTTCCAGATCTAGAAAGAATCATTTTGAGGAAAAGTGTGATTAGTGACTCATTGATATTAGGTCTTCATCAATCAAATAATGAATCATGAGTCACATGCTTTCACACATAATTCCACAATAAACTTGATTGACTATAACTACTAAAACTAATTTGAAGAACTTAGTTTTAGTAAAATTTCACTATCTATTAATAAGTAATAAAACTTTATAGCTTATAATCTAATTCACTCTTACTTAGTTAGGATAACAACTAAATTCACAAAAACATAATTTCAAAGATTTGAAACTTAATAAAGCCACAAATTTTGTTACCATTTAACAAAATTTTGGTAGTATAATGACTTATAATTGAAAGTTTCTCGGGCATTTTACCCTCTCTTCGAATTAAATTCAATCCCTATACAATTTAATCAAACGTAATTCAACAGCAACAAGTCAATTTCTATAATGTTAACTAAAAAAATAAATATGAAATATTTTTATTCTCTTAGTCAATGGTTGAGCCAAAAAAATGCCAAACATCTAGCTAGTATCATGTGCACAAGCATGTATTTTTCTACTATATTTTTGGATTCCAATAGCAGTAAATTAAAATATATTTATGCCCAATGGAATACTTCAAGAATAGTATCCTTTTCAACGAATCTTGATTTTTATCTTGACATAGGAATTAAAGAACTACCAAATAATGATATCTCATCTTTGGATTCTAATAACAATAGATATATAAGCTACACTTATAGATATGCCTTGAAAGAGATGCTCTAAATAAACATTAATTTTGATATATATATATATATATATAGGCCATATTTCGTGTAAAATTTCCTGAACATAATTATTTTGTTTACATATACTTTATGCCTTCAGATGCCGAGATAATCATAAATCATTTTGCCCTATGATTGACCATTATTTAGAAATCCCCCAAGTTCTAAACCTTTTTCTCAATACTATATATCTAGATAATTAGATATTATATATTTCCAGCTCTCTTCCTCATTTTTGCCAACTATAAATTATAAATTATAACGGATTAGCCTAAGTACTTGGGTTGGGTTATGAGTTGTCAACTAATAGGCTAATGGCTACATTTAGGCTCATAAGAAATGGGTTTAATGGAAAGGAATTGGGTATATGAAGGAGTAAAGCAATGGTTGAAGGCAGAGATGAATTTTGTAGTCCCTTCCCTCTTGTATTTCCTCCTTCATCCTCCCTGAGCAATATTCTTCTTTTTTACTATACTGTTCAGGCACTTTTTTTTGTTGACTGTTTTCGATGATTAATTGCCTGTTATATGTATGTGTGACTGAGAAATTGAGGCAATAACACTTGAGAATTTTCATTCAGCATATTTTTGTATTATTAATTTGTAAAAAGGGTTGCTCTAATTAGGTATAATAATTAATATTCCAATCTAAGTTTTTTGGCTAAGAGTGCTTGGGTGATTTTCAATTTCTTAGAGGCATTCTGTCGAGCACCTTGCATGCATCCATGGAAAGAAAAGCAAACAACACCAATGCGCTTTCATTGAGCACCCAGCCACAGTAGAAAATGATCAATGTAAAGCGAGCAATCCAGTACAAGTATCAATCACAGACCACAGCTACCACAGTCACCAATTCGAACTTACAGCATTTGAACAAAAAAAGAGAATGAATAGCTTAAACATACTTGGGAATTTCTTCGGTCAATGCAGAACGAAATAGCTTCAATGGATTCCACTAAGTTGATAGAGCAAGAGCATAAGAATGCCCTAATTCTTCACAGAGGCAACAGCCCGATTGCTTGCGAAGGCTCTGATTCTTCACCAAGCTCTGATTACAGACGCGATTCTATGCTTAGAGAAGCTAGGGCACGACGATGAACAATGGGATCTTCACAAATCAATGCTTCTAGATGAGTCAAAGCAGCAGAGATATTTGGGTGGAGAAGAAATTTCAGAGAGATTCAACATTTCCAAGCATGTCTGGTCTCTGCAGAGTAATGCGCAATATGAGTAAGGCAGAGGCATTTTTAAATGGCATAAGTTTGACGGTTATCAGGTTTAACCATCAAATATTGTCTCACTATATTTGACGGTTAACTATATAACCGTCAAACTTATATAAAAAAATTTAAAAAAATTCCCTAATTTAAATATTATATTTTAAGTTTAATTGTTTTATATATAACCGTCAAATATATTGATTCATATATTTGATAGTTTTTGTTGAAACCGTCAAATATTATTTTTTCCAGTTACCGCCTTTCCTTATTCAATGGATTTTTCAATAACCATCAAATATATAGGCATCAAATATGTATAATTCTGTACGAGTGACTACAAATTGCATCGGAAAGCATTTAGAATTAGTAGTGGACTATTATGGTCTTTTTTTTCTCTCATTCCTGAGAGTGCCTTTCTCATTCTTGAGATTCTCGTGCAAAGTATCTGCTTTCCTTTTGATGTGATGTTTAGTCCTTTTTCCTTTCGTGTGAAGTTTCTTGAAGCCTTCTTGGTCTGTGATTGGCTTCTCTGCCAGGATAATGGAGATTGATAACGTTGATGTGCATCATTCTCGAGAGGTTAATAATGTTCAAATTAAATGGAGAAAACCCAAGTTTGGAGACAATGAAGGTAGAACGTTGATGGGAAAAGTATTCTCGATGGTTCCTATTCCAAAAGCCTTGGTTGAAAGACTTGCGAATATGGCTTGGAAAGTTACTGGGAAGTTAGTATTTTAGGTTGGAGTTGATAATCACTTTCCGTTTGACAATAAAGATAACATGTTAAGGATTTGGGAAAATGGGCCTTGGCTTGTTAAAGGACATATGCTTTCTGTGATGAAACGTCCACCATTTCTTAATCTAAGTGAACTTAAAGTCACATCCTGTGATTTCTGGATTCAATTCCACGATGTGCCTGAGGAAGGGTTAGATGTTGAGAATATTTATCTTTTGGGTTCTAATATTGGATCTGTATTAGCTGTTGAAGATCCTTGTAAAGAAAACAGATTAGTTTGACCTTTTGGACAAGCAAAAGTGGCGGTTAACCCTTTAAATCCACTAACACCTGTCCTATGGGTTCAACGTCCTAATCTTCCACCTGCGAAAGTTCTGATCAAATATGAACGTTCACAGAAATTTTGTTATCATTGTGGTAAGTTGGATCATGAAATAAAGAGCTGTTTGGCTAATGATTAGCGTTCTAAAGATGGAGATCTACCCAGAAACTTTAATTTTAATATCTGCGTTAATGCCAGTTTTGTCATCAGAAAACTTTACTGGATTAATGGAGGTGATTTTTCGGTGATTTCTAGTGGGGAGGACGAGGTGTTGAATCCCATTATTAATGATCTGAGAGAGTTATGCTTGAAGATCACGTTATGCATGGGGAAGTGTCAAATAATAATCTGCATGGAGAATATACAAAGAATGTTGACTTGGCTGCCAATAGGAATGAGTTTAGCGAGACCCATCTTAACGTGTGCAATTCTCCCGATGATTCTGTTGACAGTGGGATTTTAAAGATGGCGTCTGAATTTAATAATTCTAACTCTCTTCCAGTATGTTTCATGTGCAAAATGAAGAGGCTAATTGGTCTGACTTTTGTTTTGCGCCGAACTTTAATTTTATTAGTGGGGCCGGAAAATTTGGTAAGGCCTATGGTTAAAAGATTTGGCCATGATTGGAAGAGAGTGGGCCCAAATATGAATAACATTTTTGGGAGCCCTTAAGTTGTTGGATTCCCTGATGATGATGACCATTTATCCGATGAATCTCACGCTTTATCTATCAGACCAAATTATGGTGAGGGCTTGCCTACGAGTCTCAAGCTATTGGGTTCTAAACAGAGAGGTGACGAGTTCCAAAATTCTCCTTCTCCAAAACATTCTAAGAAAGACGAAAATGACTCCTGGTAAGTTGGAAAAAAGGATCAGATTTGAGTTTAGTGATGAGCCAACTTTCTTGGAAGGAAGCTGTGCTTCTCAAAAACCCACTCCCAAAAAGAGTAAGCGTCAGGTTGCTCGAAGGCTTAATATCACTAAATCTGAGGTATCTGAACCAAATTACAATTTTGATATGGCAGTTTGGAATTCTTACTCCTTCTTTGATCTTTCTATTTCTGGGGTTTCTAAGTCTTAACTGGGAGGGCATGGTGGCTGGCTGTCCATAGCCAGTAAGTGGCCATGATCTGCTTTGCTTGAAACTGTCAAGGTCTGGGGGCTACCTTGACAGTTCGTCATTTGCGTTTCCTGAATAGGAAGTTTAAACCCTTCCTAATTTTTCTATCAAAAACAAAAATGAAAGATAGGAAAATTGAGAAAATTAGGAGAAAGCTGGGATTTGATTTTGGGATTTATGTCAGTCCTATTGGTCGTTCTGGTGGGGTTAATCTTTGGTGGAAAGGTTTGGTTTCTTTGAACATTATTTCAGCTAGCAAGAATTTTATTGATGTTCGTGATGTTTTTGTGATGATCGATATTTTGGAGATTTAACCTTTGTTTATGGCCCTCCCTCTGTGACTGGTAAAGGAAGATGGTGGAGAGATATTTCTCAGTGTCCACCCGATAGCAATATCTCGTGGACCTTAATTGGAGATTTCAATAATATTTTATATAATTCTGAAAAGGAAGGTGGGAGACCAAGATCTTTCTTTGAGTTAGACAGGTTCAGCAAATTTATTATTGATTATGATCTGATTGATGTGGATCTCAAAGGAGGTTTCTTTACCTGGGCTAATAATAGAGAAGGAAATGATTTTATTAGAGAAAAGCTTGATAGAATCCTTTTTAATACCCACTTTAGAGAATCTTTTTCAAATGCTCAAGGAGTGGTCCTTAATGCTATTGGCTTTGATCATTGTCCTATCTATATTGATTTTGACTATAAAGATTCTAAAGCCAAAAGGTTATTTAAATTTGATGATAGGTGGTCTTCTCATCCAGATCTGGTTAATGTTATAAAAGAAAATTAGAAGGGCTCTCTTGATGGCGACATTGTTACTGCTTTCGCAGAGAATATAAGATTCCTATCTTATATTCTGGATGAAGAAAGAGTTTGGGAATTCTTCTAAATAAGTTGATGGTGAAGGTTCATGATCTTCTATAGGGCGAGTGGAATGTTGAGGTTGCAAGGAAAGTCTCAACTAAAGCTGAAAATAAATGATCTGTGGCAGCAAGAGGAATTATTCTGGGCCCAAAAATCTAGAATCAATTGGCTCAAATGTGGTGACAAAAATTCAGAAGTTTTTCATCTTACAACCATTCATAGTCTGTTTGCGGATGACTCTGTTTTCTTTTTGCAAGCTGATTTTGACATTTGCAAAAACTTTAAGAAAATTCTTGATTTGAATTGGATTGCATCTGGTGATGTAAAACACACACGCACACGCTCATATTAATTTGAACAGAGCTGGAAGAGGGAGATACAGCAACAACAGAGATGGAAATAGAGAACAGAGAGGGGGAGAAAGAGAGAATGAATCAGAACGCAGGGAGAGAGAGAACAATCAAAATATCATCTTTAGTATTCATTCACCAACCAAGACGTCCAGTACAAATGATAATTGAGTCTATTTATAGACTAAGCTTTCTTTGCTTTTAAAAAAGCTCAACTTGCAGATTAAAATATATAAAGAGCAAAAAGTAAAAGCAAGTCAAATTTTCTTCTTTTAAAGGAAACCTATAAAATATTAAATAATATAAAAATAATTATTTTTTTTAAAATAACATTTATCATATTTTTTATCATGGTCAACGAATAAATTTCAATAAATCTTGCCTTTATTTTTCCAAGAATACTACTGATTTAATGAAGGAGGAAATTGGGCATATTTTTCAGATTGATTTGGTTGATGTTCCTGGAAGTTATCTTGGCTTTTACCTATCCTCTAGGGTAATTCTAAAATTCAAGCTCTGCACTTTGTCATCAATAAAGTCAAAAAAAAGACCCAAGGATGGCGTCGCAACTTTTTATCTGAAGCTGAGAGAGAGGTACTCATTAAATCTGTCATTAATTCCATCCCTGTCTGCTCGATATCTTGTTTTTCTTTCCCAAAAGCTATTTGTAAGGAGCTTGATCGTATTATTTCTAGTTTTTAGTGGAAAGATAGTGAGGGTTGTAGAAAAATTCACCGGGTCTCATTAGATAAGCTTGAGAATAACAAACTTGATGGTGGTCTTGGTTTTAGGGATTTTCAAGCTTCTAACTTGGCCTTACTTGCTAAGTTGGGCCGGAGAATCTTGCAAAATCCTGACAAGTTTTGTGTTAAACTTTTGAAAAGTTCATATTTCCCTAATTGTGGCTTCTTTGAAGCAAAAAGGGGTTGAGAGCTTCTTGGATATGGAGTAGCATCTTGGATGGACGTAAAATTCTGGAAAACAGATCATTTTCAAGCATTAGAAATGGAAGAATGACAAAGGTTTGGATCGATGCTTGGGTGCGCTCTCTACCACGTACGCGTATCTCCTCTCCTTGCCCTTTCGAGGATTGGAAAGACATGGCTGTTGAGGAACTAATTGTCAATAACCAATGGAGTCTTAGACTTTATTAAACATTGGTTATCCAATGTTGAAGTTACAGCTATTATCAATGTTCAGAGAATTTTGTCTGGAAGGGATGATAAATGGGTTTGGATTGGGGGTAAAGGATTTGTTTATTCTGTTAAAGAAGGATATAAAATTGCAAAATCTTTAAATCTGGTTGATATGACTAATAACCTTCCTCCTCTTTTTCCATTTCTCAAAACCTTTGGAAAACAATTTGGAATCTTAAAATTCCAAACAAAGTCAGATTCTTCTTGTGGAGAATTGCCTCTAATGCTTTGCCTTGTTTTGAAAATTTGAAAAGAAGGGGTTGCAACATATCTGAATTTTGTGGTATTTGTTCCCACTATGTGGAATCTCTTGACATGTTTCTTTTATGTAATTGGGTCAAGGCTGCCTGGTTTGCATGCCCTTTTTCTCTGAGGATTTCTGAGCACAACATTTCCTCTATGAATCATTGGTTATCTTTCTGGCTCGTTAATGAGAATTTAAATCAATGGCAAAAGGCTCTTATTGCTTGTTCTCTCTAGTAGATCGGGAAGTTTAGATGCTCCTTTTTGTATGAAAAAGCTATCGTGGAACCTTGCTTAGTTATCTCTCGTGCTAACGATATGTTATGTGAATTTTGGGATGCTAATGGCTGGTCTAACTCTGATGTTAACGCTGTTAATCTCATTGATTTAGATTCAAGTTCTTCTTGGGTCGCTCCTCTGAGTGACTCGCTTAAGATAAATACTGATTGTGCTTTCAATTCTAATTTAATGCTTGCCGCTGCTTCCTTTGTTGTCAGGGATTGCAATGGTAAGATCATGGATGGTTCATCTGAGGTTTGTCTAGTCTCTTCTATTCTTGAAGTAGAATTCTTAGCGATGGACAGAGCGGTGGAGTTTGCTGCTTCAAAGAATCTCTCTAATGTCTTCTTTGAATTTGACTCTAAAGGTCTGATTGATTGCTTAACCCCTAGTTTGGCTTCTGCTGATTGGAAGTGTCTCTATTTTTTGAGAACATCCTCTTTAAGAGGAATATTGTTAGAAACTGCTTGTTTTCGTAGATTCCTAGAGAAGCTAACTTGATAGCTGATTGGATTGCTAGGGCTTCTTTAAAGGATTTGTGTCCCCTGGATTGGGTCGTCAGACTCCTAATTCCTTGCTTAACTTGTTAATTTCTGGTTGCTCTTCCTTTAGAGATTTTGGTTAGACTTTATGCTCTTTTCTGTTGATTTGTTTGTAAGACTCTTATTTCCTTTTATAATATCCTCTGTTGGCAAAAACAAAAAACAAAAAACCAAAACAAAAAGAAAAGAAAATGCTAAGCCACTGTTTGGCCTTTTGGACTACGGCGATGGTGAACGCTCAGTGTTTCTAAATACAAGCGATTTTACCCCAAAAAAAAGTGTGTGTGTGTGTGTATTTATATATATTATTTTTTACTATTATTTTTAATTTATGTACAGAAGTTGGAGGAAGTAAAGGGTGAGATCCTAATGATAAATATCTATCAACAACTTAATGTATTAATAAACTAATAAATTAATGCTAAAATTACTTATCGTTGTTAACAATATTTTTTCTTAAAAGTCGTTTTAACATGATTTGTATTTTTTTGTAAGTATAAAGAGCATTGATAGTAGAAATTTTATCCTCAAAAATATTGAAGACAAATGGTAAACTCTTTTCAATTAAGTTATTTCATAAATCAAGGCTAGCAACCAACCCCAACCCTTTAAGGATTCTATAACTTCATTTTTTTTTATTCAAATATATGCTCTGACCATCTTTTTCTCTAAATTTTTTTCATACATATAAAACAACGCGAGAAAACATATTGGCTTACCAAACCTTTTTTTTTTCCTACTTTGTTAAAAATAGAGTTGGTAATTTGTCACAGTAAGTTCAATTCAAGTTAAATTTATTCAAATTGAATTTAAAATATTTTAACTGGCCCTTAATCCCTTGGGCTTTCAAGCTTATCTAAGTTAGTATAAATACTTGAATTGTTAAATATTATGCTATTTTATTTTTTTATTTTTTATCTAATTTAATTTTTAATTTTTAAAAATTAATATTTTTAATTTTTACATTATTTTATTAATGATGAAAGAGGAATTCAAGAATTTGAGTTTGACTTGGCTTAGATTTTTTGCTTATTTGGACGGCCTAAATAAGCTTAAAATAAAAAAAATATTTTAAACTCTTAAGTTTGACCCTAAGATTTTGCGCACTTATTCAAACTGATCCGTCAAATTTAGCTAAAGCTATTGTGTCTAGTTTTAAAAAAAATAGACATCCTTAAAAAAAAAAAAAAAGCTTTATAATTCAATCCTTTGTACTCATAGAAACCCAAAATGGAACCAAACTACCAAAGTTTTATCATACAATATTTGAAAACTAAAAGGAAAACACAATTGATTAGCCCCTATAATTTTATCAAATTTTATAATTTAAATATTTTCAGTTATTATGGAGACTAAAAATACAAAAACTACGGGAGCTTAAGTAACAAATGTCACCTAATATTGTGAAAACTATAAGAATTGAAAACGTAAAACGTAAAAAAAAAAAAATTAAAAGACAAAAAAAATCTAATAAAAATATAAAAACCGGTAATTGTGTTTTTCCAAAAATAAATTTGATTTGTAAGCATATGATATTATTGGAGCTTTTACTTTCATTATCATGTGTAAGGTTAAAGCTCATGGGTAAGGGATTTCATAGAAGTAACAAGAGAATTGTGTTAAATAAGTTGGGTGTGGAACATGCACAAAGAGTTCATCCATAGAAAAAATCAGAACTAATAATTAAGATAAATCTATACAGATTTTACAATGATAGAATATAAATATGAATGAATGTATACAATCTTTAGATCAAGAATTGTTGATGCCCCACACGGGCATTTCATAATAGAAATCGAACATATGTATATAATGTTACAAACAAATATTTTGAAACACATCAATAATCTTGCTATGATTGATCTTGTCCAAGACGAGGAAGATACATATATATATATATACAATTCTATGGTTAAATTAAACTACATAATTAAGATTGGGAATCATGAAGATGCGATCTTAGGCTGCGACTCTGCCAACCATTTCCAGACAGTGAGCAAACCAGTTCCGTCTCCAGTGAAGAAGAGTCCACCAGGGCCTTCTTCTATTACTCGAATCTCTTGTTTTGAAAATAATCTTCCTCTCGCACCGAATCTGATCAAACAAGAAACACAATATCAGCGCCTGATATGATAGCATACAATATAAAGCAACAACGACAACAAGCATTATTCCATTAGGTGAGATCAACTAGATGAATTGCACAATGTCATTATACTCTGTCATCAACCCAAACATAATATTAAACTGACACAAAAAAAAAAACAAAAAGAAACATAAATCAACTCACGATGGCATTTCATACAACCCCACTGAGTAGTTGCATGAACAAAACAAAATGGGTTTCCCATCTGCATCAATCATCCCATTAATTCTAACCACACACTGCAGCATCAACAAAAACTATACATTAGATCAGAGGGGTTTCAGAGTAAGAAGAATTAGCAGTGCTTCAGTACCTATTGTTATTACTTAAGATGTAAATTAAGTCGTAAAAGCAATGCTGGATGAGCAATAATATATACTATTTATCTACACAAACTCACATGTTCTTCATGGTGCGTGTACACTACTTCCAAAGTTTCTTCTCGAGTTATAGTCCAAAGCTTAACTGTGCCGTCCAGTGAACTTGAGAACAAATATCGGTCCCAACAGATAAGAGATGTCACCACATCTGTGTGCCCTTTCAACGTCATCGTGCATTGTAATGTCTTGAGGTCCCAAACGTGAAAATAAAATGAAATCCATTAAGACTTTCCGAACGAATTCAACAACAACAACATATATATATATAATATAATTTCAGAAAACAAAATAATCTCAGTTTTAATTCAAATGAGCTCAGTTTTCAAACTAAAATAGTATTAGACTGTGAAACAATATTTTTTTAAGAAAATTTATGATACGAAAATATAAAGAGAGATTTACAGTTCATCAAAACCTATAACAGACTAGCTGTCTAAACTAGTTCTATAGTAAGATATTACAACAAAAAAACGACATGGGGTTACGTTGGCGCCTAAAATATGGATAATCTTTTCATTTGTAGGCACATACCTTTATGGTATGATCCATGGAACCGGAGTAGAGCTTGTCCCCTGGTCCGCCAGTTAAGCAAACAACAGCTTTGCTATGGCCATTTAACGTTGCCAATGGTTTGAATGGGACATTTGCATCAGAAATGGCACTCCATGCATAAATAACACCATCCTACACATGATATAAAGGCAAAGTGAGATCATAGTAAAATGTGTATATAAAACATAGAAAAGAACTTGGTAAAACATTTAATAAACAATTAATTACCATTGCTCCAGCAAAAAGTATATCGTTGCAAACAGCCATGGAAAGTACATGACCCTTAGGTCCGTCAAGAGTGAGCTCAGCAAATGTTCCAAGCCTTCATAATAATTAATAACAACCACACAATCAATGTCAGTAAAGTATGACACATGAAAACATGAGAGACACAACAAATGAAGAAGTTTTAGAGCTCACTTTAACAGTATTGCTCACACCGGCGAAAAGCCACGGACCCGCACTGATCAAACATCTTGCTTCAGCACCCAGATTTATAACTTTAACACATTGACCCGTATGGCAGTCCCATATGCGAACTGTCCCATCAGTGCTACTGGAAAATAGTTTGTCCGATCCAACCGGAAGTGTAATTCCGGTGACAATCTAGAGTCGTCGTTTAAGGTTTAGTACTCAAACAAAAATACCAATTTATAAAATGATAGGACAAATGTTGAGACTTGAATAATGGAAGAAAAATGAATAGATTCATATGATGATTATGATAGAACATTACAACAGAAGTAATCCTTCACTTTGAAGGGTTTACAACAACAAACTAAATGTACAAACCCCAAACAATGGGGACTAACCATGAGATATTACAATTAATTTCCCTAGCCTTTATATAGGCTTAAGCTAACCCATTAAACATGATTAACCAATTTATGGAGTCAATACCTTCTTGTGTTGATGGAGCTTAGTGAGCGGAGAAACGGCATGTCCCTGAAACCAGGAATGCAAGTTCCAACAACGATCGCCATGTGCGCAATTTCCATTGATCCAGTACTTGCAAACTGTTGCCGATGAATGGGGTTTGGGCTTAGAGGGTCTTGCGCCATTATCGGCTTTGCCAGTACGTGCAGTTGAAGTTTGATTCTGATTCTGCAGAAACCTTGAGGTATTTCTGATGTCCCTATAACAAGGAACCGGATCACCTCTCCTTGCGACCCTTGTATTCATTCTGTAACGATCAACTCTCTCTCTCTCTCTCGATCACCTTTCGTCTCTCTCCCTCTCTCTCACACGAAGTGACGATCACTCTTTCTTTTGTCACACGCTCGCAGACTTTTTCACAAAGTTCCTTCTCGCATCATTCGCTCTCTTTTTACAGTATGACCAGCCAAATCTTAACAAGATATTTCAAGTATATTCAAGTCCCCTGAATCTTCGGTTTCATATTCAATATTTTTGAACTTTATTGATTATCATCCAGTATAACTTTCAACGAATTAGATATGTTTAACCTCCCAAAGAGATTTGATGGAATTTACCTAACATAAATTAAATCCTAAGTGTTAAATCCTATACATTTTTTATTTTTAGAATAATTTTCAACAATTTTTTATTTGCCTTTATTTTAAATTCAAATTGAAATACTAACAATATTAAATTCACTAGAATGACCGGATGAAGTCTAACAAACAACACAATTTAAATTAAAAATATTTTTGCCTTGCATGCTTCAATGTTATTGTTATTTTTCATTAGCAATACATCTATATATCCAGATAAAAACAGATCCTCTAATTTACAAAAAAATAAAAAACACCAGAAATCTATCCTTAGAGAAGGAAAATTTAATCTGAAATCTAATATGATTTTTAAGTTAAATGATCTGCCAACGTATCTCATATAATCAAAGTTCAAAATAAAATATCATATAATTTTTTATTGATACCATACATATGATGCGTATTCACTATTTTTTATTTTAAAGGTATTTATGTTTTTTTTTTAGTGGAAAGGAAGTTACTTATGTTTTTAAATATAATTTTATGACTATTAATAATCAATTGGATTTAAACGTCTTACGATTAAATAAATTATCAATTTAAATCAAAGTACAATTACCAGGTTGTAAAATTATTAAAATTAGAAATTAAAGTAATATAAAATTGATAACTTTAATTCTGAATGTTTAAGATGTCGTCGTTAAGATTTTCTTCAATAAATTTAATTTTTTTTATCATTAGACACTTATCCAAGTATTCAAACCTTAAGTACTTAAATAGTTAAATAAATCTTCAATTTCAAGTTCAAAATAAAATATAATAGAAAATAATTAAAAAATTTCAACATAAAATTATACTGTTTAATAAATAATTAAATTCATACCGAAATATAGATACTATATTAGAAAATAAATAGATAGATTAATATTTTTGAATTCTGAATAAAATGATTTAATTTCTAACGATAAACATGCAAAGCATTGCTGCTAAGAGTGGCATTCTCATTCATACTTGAAAAATAGAAATTATTCATTAAATTTTAATTTATCTAGGACAACAGAATTTAAAATAATTTTATATTTTTAATGATAAGGGTACAAATTTAATCACTTGTTATTTTTTCAAAAGCATATGGCATTCTAAACTATTAGGTGGTACGAAATAAGTCATCAACTTCTAAAAATAGAGCATCCAGTAACCCATCATTAACTTTAATCAACGGACATTCTATGAGGCCCACAATGACATGTGATACTCCGCATTAGCATGTGTAAAGCAAGAAATTTTCATGAACTATTTTCAGAAGCACTAGATAGTTTCTATTATAAAAAGCAGACCATTCAACAAATTTTTATCAATTTTGATCAAACACTGTTTATTTTTATATTTATGAGACCAACAACGAGTCAATTTTTTCAATCTTCTTGCCTTCGTTCTCAAACTCAGATCGATAAGAAGAGATCTAAAAAATTCACGAATGGGCCAACAAAATAGAAGAAATAATTCATGACTAAATAAAGCTAGAATCAAGTTTTTCTTTCGCGTAGTAAAATCAAATTTCTATTTCATTCACATCATCCTCGTGAATGTCTTCTTCAAATATGAATTCTTTGAACTTCTTCCCAAGTCAAGACTAAGAATAATGGCAAAAAAATTGAAGAAATTAATGCGTTGTGAGTCTCATGAGTAAGAAAATAAACAATATTTGGTCAAAATTGATGAAAAAGTATAGGATGATTTGTTTTTATAGTAAAGCTACCAAGTGCTCTTCGAAAAATAATTTATGACTAAATTTACACATTTTATGCATGCTAATATGAAGTGCCACATATTATTGTGAACCCCACATATCATCCCACCAAGAGTCTTTTGAATTAGGCCAACCCACATCACTGCATTGAAAGCCAGCTTTTCCCAAGGTCGCTTGAATTATTCTTCACCTTACCAAAAAAAATCTTTTAGAACCTTTCCAGATTCGAACCTCCAACCTCCACCATCTTAAGAAAGTTGAGGCTAAGTCTAGTACTATTACAAACAGTGCACTACTAAATGCTTTATTTTTAAAAGTTGAGAATTTATGTTTCACTACCAGATAGTTTAAGTTACCAAATGCTCTTAGAAAAATATTTCATGGCCAAATTTGCCATTTTACCCTATTTTTAATATGCATAGGCATAACAAATTTTAAAATAGAATAAATTATCATTCAAATTTTAATTTACATAAAATAATAAAATATAAGTACTCCAAAATATTTTTTAATTTTTATATTCATATTTTGTTATAATAAATCTAGTCCAGTGGTTTATCTAGTCCATAATATTAAATAAACATTTGCGGAAGTGCAATCCGACACTCTCTCTCTCTCTCTGTTTTTTTTTACATTTTTATTAAATTTATCTATATGTTTGCCAAAGAAAAAAATCTATCTATTTTGCCTTAGATGAGTCATGTAGATCTATAGTGTGACTTATTCATATGACTTTTTTTACATTTTATAATAATAAATTTTTTAAAAATAAAATATAATAAATGTTTAAATTATGATATGGTAAATGAGAATTAAAAAAAATAAAAGCCTCATGGTAAAATCAACAATCCGTGAATGGATATTATAGATTTACAGTACCTATTTCACTTGCCCTTATGACTTTGTTTTTTGAAATTTTTATTTAGTAAATATTTTAAAATAAAATAAAATTAATTTTGAAAATTATGATATAATATATGAGAATTAAAACTAATAAAAGGCTTATAATAAAAAAAAGGGAGAATGACAGATAAATTCCACTGAAACATGAAAAGGACAATTTGATTCCATAAAATGTGATAATAATGATGAGTTCCCAAAAAACTTCGTTGAAATTAATTTTTTGTATGAAATTACTTTAATACCAATATATAATTAATTTTATATGGTTTACAAATTTAATATAAAAATTCACAAGTTTGGTTTCACTAATGATTAAAAGGATTTAAAAAATCACATCTCTTGGCAATTTCCACCATCTACCAAATTTCCAATTAATTTGATATAGTTCACAAGTTCAGTATAAGTATTTACAAATGTGATTCCACTAATAACTAAAACTATTAGAAAATGACAACTTTCTATCAGCAAAGATCAACTATTTAATTTTATATCATTTACAAGTTGGGTATGGAAAGCCATTTAAAGAAAAATCTTATTACTAAAAGAAGAATTAGTATAAGATTTTCACTGTATACGCTATTTGGAAAAAGATCCTTAAAAGTAACCTCCCTGCAAAAGATATTAAGGGCGGGACTCATGTATGCTTAGTCTTAAAGATCCCCTCAATCTACGTGTCTTAAAACATATTGATCCAAGTAAGCCCCCTTAACGCCTCTTCGGGGCAAACTCAGGTCACTTTACAATCCTCAACTTTTTAACACGTAAATCCACAGATCTCTAAGCATAGTGACATGGGCTCAGACTTATAGATCATTAGTTGGATTCATTCTGATGCATAGGATCCTCAGAGATAAGTAAGTGCAGAGCATATTTGAATCTTAATATGACAGAAATAAGATAGTAAATAATTAAGCTTTTAGGAGAGGAGAGAGAGTTTAGAGAGACATATTTAAGAAAAACATGAATTTTTATTTTCCAAATGAGTTTTGTTTTACAAAATAGTAGAGACTCCTTTTCATAGATGAAGAAAGACGGATTCTAATATTATAAGATGACACACGGAGACACTCTTTTCCAAAGTAAAGCTAGACATGATACAAAGCAAACCATTTTGTCAAAATGTAAAAACTACTTTTGACAAATTTATTCAAAGATAAGGTTGACGCTGACAATAGCAAACATTATTAAAGTAACTTTTGATAAAGTTATTATAAAACAAAAAGACATGACATGCATGGTTAAAGTAAAGCATATTCCCAAAATTATTGCAAGCTCTTATGGATGCATTCCTGATCTAATAACAGGTTGAGTTATCTCTTTTCTTCTTTTTGGCGCTATCCGGTAGTGGGAATTTTGAGGATGAGCTTGTTCTCATCAAAATCTTGATTTATATCCAAAGATGATTCAATGGCATATGTGTCTTTTAACTCAAGAAACAGATGGTAGGTCTGAGTCTTTATCTCATATTGTTCTTAGCTATCTAGAGGAAATGATAGAGAAGTAGATGACAATGCTCCATGATAAGATTCCATCCATGTAGCATATCCTTTTTAAATAACAATACTAGAGAGCCACTTTAAAAACTCATATTAGACTGAGGGTGAGCTAAGTCACATAATGATATATTTCTAATGGAGGAAGAGCTAAGGCACATATGTAAAAGGTTGAAAGAGATCAAAGGTAGCACAAGTTCATATAGTATAGGGCTTCTAATGAAACGTATTGCCAAGTAAGGCATTTGGATATCAAGGAATTCGAGATGTGGCTGAGCTTGGTTATTTTAAGAAGGTGGAGCTAAAAGAAAAGAATTCTTCTAGCTAACTTTTAGACTTCAGAGATTGAGGTAGGAAAATGACCAGGGGAAAAGCAAGTTGGCTAAACATGATGCTAAGGATAAAAAGAGGCTAAATTTGTCAAAGAGTTATGAGGCTGATCTTTTTTTGGAGTCTGATGAGACAATTAGCAATGGTGTTGTGATTTCTTTTGATGCGTCAAATTGGGAATTTATAATGAAAAAACCAGTCTTCCCATCAAAGGAGTTGAGCTTTAGGAAGAATGTTTCTATTCTAATAGAGGATTTTTGGAAATGATGTGTTGCCCATTTCTATTATAAAATGTAGGGGCTGAGATTAAAATTGAATTTTTCAATGCCACGTTTCACAGTTAGAACTTTATAGGCAATGTGGTACTGTTTTTCAGATGGTTTGAATTCACCACTAGCATGACCACAGTAATGTCTTCCCATTTTCTTCTTCAACAAGTATTACTTCTCAATAATCAAAACTTGCATCTATTTACAAAATACACTGCCAATGAAGGATTAAACCTTTAGAAGCTTCTTGACTGATTCGCACCAATATCCAAATGGCATAAAGAATTATCACAAGTAATTGAGTCAGAACAAAATTGAAAGGTGCTACTAAGTGGACAAAAGGCTTACTATTTCTTTATTATCTATCATCTTGACAGCAAAGGAAAACTCTATGTGGCCAACCAAACATATTTAAAGAAGACTATAACTAACTAGTCATTACATGAAAATTAAACTTTAAGTGAATTAAAAATTTTTTATATGAAATAAATAATTCCTCAGTAGTAGATCCCAATCTCAGGTGTACATCTTTCGGTCTCATTCCTCATTAGCCTATTATCCTTGATGATCTATCACCCTCAGTCCAATATGAGTTTTTAGAGTGGCTATTCAGTATTGCTATTTAAAGAAGATATGCTATATGGATGAAATCCTATCAGAAAGCATCATCATCATCCACTCTTCCATCATTGCCTCCAAACAGCCAAGACCCATATAAAATAAAAACTCAGATCTACCAGATGTTCCCTGAGTTAAAAGACATACCTGTCATTGAACCATCTTAAGATATAGATCAAGATTTTGATGAAAACCAGCTCATTCTCAAAAGTCCCACTGCCAGATGGCGCTGAAAGGAAGAAAAAAGATGGCTCAACCTATTATTAGATTAAAAATGCATTCACAAGAGCCTATGATAATTATAAGAATCTGTTTTACTTTAATCATGTCTACCATGTCTTTTTGTCTCATAATAACTTTGTCAAAAATTACTTTAATAATATTTGCTTTTGTTAACATCAACTTTATCTTTGAATAATTTTGTCAAAAATAGTTTTTACTTTTTAACAAAATGATTTGCTTTATGTCATATCCAACTTTACTTTTGAAAAAGAATATCTCCATGTGTCATCTTGTAATAATAGATGCATTGTCCTTATCCTTCTCCCTTCATCTATAAAAGACAATCTCTGCTATGTTGTAAAATAGAACTCAATTGGGAAATAAAAATCCATATATTTCTTAAACATATATTTCTAAACTCTTTCTCCTCTCCTGAAAGCCCGATTCTCTAATATCTTATTTTTATCATATTAAGATTCAAGTATGCTTTGCATTTGCCTTTCTTTAAGAGTCTTATGCATCACAATGAATTTAACTAATGATTCATAAGTGTGAAGACATGTTACTATGCTCAAAGACTTATGAATTTATGTGTTAAGGGGTTGAGGATTCTAAAGTAATTGAGTTTGCCCAAAAGAGGTGTTGAGAAAGCTTACCTAGATCGATGTATCCTAAGACACGTAGATTCAAGAGATCTTTGGGATTAGCGCTTATCAATGCCACCCCAATGGTATCAAAGCCTAAAATCTTATTGACAAAAACAAGATATTATTAATGAAAAGTGAGTAAAAAGAACCTAAAAATTATGAGTGAAATCTCTAAAAATTCTACTTCACTTGAACCTATTCATCTTTCCTTAGCCTTTTCTTTTGATCCAATTCCCACCTCTGTAAAAAGGCACTTCTCTTTAGAGGAAAAAAAAAGTATTCCATTGTCTCAGAAAATGCCCGTGCCCTTCCTATAAAACTACCTTTCCTTAACCCTTGTAAGCTTTACCATAGAGGAAACTCTTTCACTCATAGAATTAGTGTTTAATTCATACAAAACAAACTCCAACCAAAGAGGTTATCCAATCCTCTAAACTTGATCGGTGTGGTATTCCAACAACTACAACTGAACAGTACATCACTCTTGAAATTGCCTAGCCATTGATTAATACTTGGATCAACCAAGAGCATACTCACCTTCATGTTAGAGCTATCCACCTAGTTTTGACCCTTCATAGGAGAAAAAGTATAGCATCTACAGCTAAGGCATCTTTGCTTGATACTACTTATAAAGCATATGAAAATGCTCTAATCAAAGCCATTTGAACAACTTTCGGGCAAGAAAATGCAGTTCTCACCAAAGCCCCCAATTTTAACATCAAGATCACAGAGCCCACTCTCTCTACTAGACTAAAAGTTTAAACCCAAATTCATGAAGCTGAACAACAACAAGAAGCTATTATGGCCACCCTCCATCACCAGATGATTTTCAAACTTCAAGATCATTCATTTGACCATAACTTTCCCAACACAACCAAAGATGTCTTGTATATAGTTGCAAACAATCCAAGTGACTCATCGATCATCCAAATTCTAAGACATCAGCCCAAGAAGAACTTGCTCAAAGGATGCCGCTGGAATGGATCAACAACTATGAAAAACAATTTCATGTCTAGAGGGATGTTCACACCATAGAATCCCCTACACTTTACATACTTCAAGATGGTACTATCAAATCAATTTTCAAAAAGCTTGAAACTCAAGATCCAAACTAGATCTCTAGAAAAACACTGTTAATAGCCATAGCTTTCATTAGAAAGAAAGAGACCTTTCAATTGAGTGGTTTACCTTAGAGGCCAAACTAGTTTATGTCTCCTATATTAATGGTCATTTTATTTGAGATTGTGCCCTAAAAATATATGACCCTAGTTGTGATTACCATCTATGGAATTATTATGATGATGAAGAAGATTTTAGTTCTAAAAGAAGAACTAGAAAGCTTAAGCAACCTAGATCTCCATCCAAGCACAAGCATCCACCAAAGGATGATGATGATGACTATGGTCTTAGACATATTACAAATAGAAAATGGGTGGGCCCTCCAAATTCTCCTACTAAAAGGAGTACTCTCTTTGAACTCTTCAAGCAACTTGGCGACAAAGACCTTCTCCCTTTGGAGAAGCCACAACCTGTCATCCCAACTCTACTGCTTGCACAAGTTTGTGCCTTGCCTTGTATTGCATGATAAGACCCTATGAGGAAAATTTTCCCCCCATTGAGCGAAAAATAGATGACAAGATAAAGGTCACTAGCAGACATTTCATATCACAAACAAAGTTAGTCCTCAAGGCACTCCTAAGCCGGTCTCCCCTATAGAGGAAGCTTTAAACTAGTAGTTCTTAGAATGTTGTCATCCAAAACAGGGTCTCACACAAAATCAATTCAAAACATGATCATTTAACAACAACAATAGAAAGCCTGCCTTGATAGGTTAATCAAATTGATGATCGGGTAAATAATCTATATCAAGGACTCTGTAAACAAGAAAAAAACTTGGATACAAAACTCTGCAGATTTATTAAGGAAGGATATACTGGATTAGAGTATTCAGAAAAGAAAATGAAATTTCTAAAGTAAGAAAACAACTATAGCAAATAGAAGCAAATTTGGCTCACGACCAGTTTAAAACTATTTATGAGTCCTATCCAACCATATACAGACAATTCCTTACCTATGCTTCCATACAATGACCTATCCTACTGAGACTAATTATAATGTGTTTACCAATTTTGCAAAAGGGTACTAAAGTAATTTTACACATAAATTTAATCTCAAAAAAATCTTTTAAAACCTTATTGTCATTATTATATTTCGCGAGATCAAATTGTGATTTTCCTGTCTTAAAAGGATTTATCAATCATTCTCCCATGAAAAAAAAAAAAGATGAATGTGGGATCTATAGTTAAAAAAAATGGGAATGGATATTTCAAAATTGATAATCCATGAATTTCATAAAGGTCAAGCCCATGTAAATATAGAAAATATAATTGAGAAAAATTACCTTCCATTAAACTTAACAATACTCAAATTTGACCCAATTAAATAATAATATAAAAGAAGAAAGATAGATAATATTTTATGTTTTACAAAATAAATAATAAAATGTAAATATATATCCATATAAGGAAAGCTTCATAGAAAATAATATGTCTCAACTTATAGGATTTTTTTTAAAAAAAATGAATGATGAATATGGAACCTATAATAAATATATATATATATATATATATATGCAAAACATGCAATAAAATTACAAATTATTAATTACAAAAATTCTAAAATAGTTGGCATGCCACCCAACATATTTTTTTTATTTCTAAAAATTTTAATTTATGCATAGTAATATATTTTTTTAAAAAATAATTTGATGCTTATATTTTCAACATATAAAACATAATAATTTGTGCAATAAAATAAATTATACTCTCTTCAGTCTTTATTATAGGATACTTTCAACAATTTCACAAATTTTAAGAAAAGTTAGTTTTTCTTTGGTATCATAAAAAATTATACTTTCATTTTTACACTAGCTTTGAATGATAATACAATTATATTAAATACCTTCATACTAATTAATAAAGGGTAATTTGAAAAAAGTAGTTTAATTGTTACAAAGTATTATATATTTTAGACCAAAAATTACTTATAATTGTCTTATAAATAAGACCGGAGGGAGTATGTACTTACATTGTGGAGAAGTAGAAGGGTAATAAACAATTAAAAAAAAAAGTTGCTACTGAAATAACTTTTAATACATAAAGTCAAGAAACAACTGGACCTAGGAGACCGTTTATTTGTTTTTTCAATTTTAATTTTGGGAAAATGACAATTAGGGACCCCCAATGATCATTAATTACAATTATAATAATGAACCATGATTCTTACTTGAAATTAAAAAATGCAAATAGTATAAAATATCCATAGAAGTGACTTTAATAAATTTTCAGATGACTATTGTATACTCACAAATGTCCTTGAAAAGTTTCGAAAGTGAATTTTAATCTCATATTGGGAAACAATCTATTGTCAATGGGTTTTCCAACTAAAATTAACAATACTTCAATCTCATAATGGTAATTTAAACAATGTCATTTCTTTATTTTTCAAGTGATCTATCTATACAATAACAAACATAAAAATTTACAAGTCATTGGATTCATATTCAAAAGTGATTTTTGATAAATTTTTTAGTGACTATTATATATTCACAAGTGCCATTGAAAAGCTTCATAAATAAATTTTAGTTTCATACTTAGAAACAATCCATTCCCAACTATTGTTCATTAGTTTTCCAACTGAGATTAATAATATTCTCATCAACAATCATTTCTTTATTTTTCAAGTTCATGGTAATTTTATAAACTCATGTATGTTTTTAATTTCAAATAAAGACCATAATACATTATTGAGATTTCAATAATTTATGCCATAATTGTAATTAATGGCCATAAGGAGTCCCTAATTGCTATTTTCCCTTTAATTTTTTAAAAATTAAGTTTCACATTGTAATGTTACATATTCATTATCTAAAATACAAATTATAATGCTCTAAAATTCAAAATAATTAAAATAAATAATAATTTTAAAATAGAAACACATATTTTAAAGTCTAAATTTAATCCAAAACTTTAAAATATCTCAACTTTACAGGCTTAAAATAAATTTGAGATTAAACAGGCTTAATGTCTTGTTCTGTTGTTCAAGTGTAAACATAAGGGCACAGCTATAACAAGATTTCCTAACAGAGACTTCAGAATTCCATGTACGCACAATACAGCATCATTGGCGTATGACTCCAAGCCAATGCCGGTAAAGCCAAAATCAAGAAATCTAGTAATCTACCAGAGGAAGAAAATGATGCTCTTCTTAGAGATAAGGAAAAAATATTAGTTTGGCAAAACAGGATCCAAACTCTACTTCATAGTTTAAGGGTAAAAATTCACACCTTTCTCCATCAAAGCCGGCCAACCACTACATCAAGATTCTGTGGCATGGCATCAACTGAATTCCTGAATTGATGGAATTGTCAATGGAGCTGTTATTTTTATAATCCCGAACGCAAACACTTTTAACCAAGATTCTACTCACTCTGGTGATTGTGAATCAAGCTGCATTGTTACTGGTCCATCATTAACCAAACTGACCTTCTCACCATCACAAATATGAGGACAGTTAACATGTGTAGCCGTTAGACATCAACACCCGACGCATTCATCATTAAAAAGAAATTGGACGGACATAAGCTTACCTTCATCATCGCTCCAAAAACTCCATCTGCAAGAATATGAAGCATCTTAAAATCAGAACATGACATAGCATTAAGTTCAACAGATTTACAAGATGCATTCAAGGAAAGGGGCACACACATCACCAAGGCTCCTTAAAGAGAATTCAATCTAAATAGAGAGAAGAAGCTTTCCAATGAATCGATGTCTATCAAATTATACAACACAACAGAATTGACCACTCGTCATGATAACTGTAGCCTCACCGTCTGTTCCTTTATAATTAGTAAAGTGGCAAGATGAATTATGGGTTTCCGTCAGTGGTTAATCCCAGATGTAAAAGACAATGGAAATAGCAAAAAATTTTCAATTAACAATAGCTTATTTGGTTGAGGCGAAGAAAAAATTTGGTTGGCATTCCTTTGATACTTTTTATAAGCCACAAAAGAAGACATTGACGAGAATGAATTAAAATTACAACTGTTATGGAACACTGTGGTCATTAATCTATAAATTAAATAATGAATGAACAGTCATTAATAATTGGGAATACTATGGTATCTTAACAAAATAGAATTATCTGGGTTTGCACTGAGTTGGCAAACAAGAGTAGTTACTACCATCAAGATTCAAAGCATTCATGAGAATTCTGTTGTCCACCCAAATCCCTCTCTCTTCTCCTCTCCAGTATCAGACAGATTCTTTCATTTTTGTCAATGCTAGTTGGCTAGATTGGAGCTAACATCCTCGGTAGTGAATGGAACGAAGGAAAAGTGAAATAATTCTGCATCAATTTGCTAAACAATGAGACTGATAACTATGTAGTGGGAGATTTGGTGGCTATACTAGGCTATGCTAAATTGCTAATCTTCACTACCAGAAAAATTCTGTTAATACCATGAGTCGTGATGGGAATATCAATTGTTTTGAGAGATAATAAGACCCCCATGTTCTACATTGGGAAAAGGTGAGAGACTTGCGGCATTCCAAAGATGGCGAAATTTGCACCATTTATCGATTTACACATCTTCTCCAGATCACTTTGTTTATGCCAATTTTCCGTTGGGTTATAACAACATATACAAGGTATAAGCTAAAAGTGTACTCAACCTTACGGAAGGTACTTATGAGCAAATCCATGAATCATCATACTCAAAGTGCAACATTTCATTTCCTTATAAAGTTGGAGTTTGTTAATTACAACAAAGGTAAACGCCAGGTTGCTATTTCTTAACCATGAATGAACAAACGAACGAGCAACAAACAAAAATGCCTCTCCGTACAAGAAGAAGAAGAAGAAGAAGAAATAGGTGCCTTCGGCTGATAGGTGAAATACAATTGAAACTTACCTTTTATTGCGTCAGTGTTACAGGCATTCCTTGAATCTATCAACCAAAGAAGCATAAAAGGAGTTCGCTGAAAACCTGGCTTGTTTCCCTTAAGTAATCCATACAAGGTAAATTGACCCACTGAGTCACTGTCACAAAACCAATATTACTCGTTTAGTAAAATAACAAATAAAGTCCTTCCCACTTTGTTCTTCGTTAATAATTAAGAAAAATCGAATTAGCAAACATAATTCCAGTACCTAATAGAACTTGATAATGCATCTGCATTACCTGCAAATTAAGATAAGCCCAATTACACAAACGGTCAAAGCAACCTCCGCAACTGATATCTAACATTTGACAATGAAATAAATTACACTTTGGTCCCATCCTTTGCCTGTACTTTCATTGGGGAACAATCTCACATTCAAGACTTTACGACTTCTGAAAGCAAAGCAGACCCAAAAAAAAAAAGTGACTACCCAAACCATAAATTATAAATTCCGCTTAAAAATTGAAGATAGGGGTAGAAGTACTCAAGTACATGTAGTCAGCGTCGGCATCGGAATCGGAATCGTGGGGGCCAACAAGGACGAGAAGGCCCGGTCCAACCGCGGACACAATGAGGCCGTCGACCTGGAATAGTGCTAAAATGCGCCGGTAATACAGGATAAGAGAATGAGAGAGAGTAAATAAGGTTTTTTTTTTTTTTGGCCAAAGTAAAGAAGGGTTGAAAGAAACTAAACTCGACGCTTGCGGAGGTGACGCGCTGAACATCGGCTCCCATTGCGGTGATTGGCTTCGCTTTCCTCTTGGTGAGTGGCAGAGAAGCTTGAACTTTGTACCTGGTGCGTGAATCTGTAGGTAGTGCTGGCTCGCAGCGGGTTTAGTGCTGCGGGATGTAGGCTGCAGTGAGTTGGTGCCACGATAAAATGTTTTTATATATATTTGAAAAAAACGTAACTTTCAATTGGATTTACTATCAGTCCTACACTTTATTTGTAGTATTATCAATTTCTCCAGTTTCTCCATTTAAACTTTAAATCCTTACATTTTTAGAGAAGTATTAATATGATATTAACAATATTAATTATGCTAATGTACACAATAGTAATGTTAATTATATGATGACATATCAGTTAGTGACTAATGTGTATTTTTTTGGAGAAAAAAAATTTATGTGCATTTTTAATAATTATTATTATATATATATATATAACTAAGATTTAAGACTACAAGAAAATATCATATGTCTATTTTTAAGTTTATTATAATTTTATATTTCATGGTACCTTTCTTACAATTGTGTGCACCAAATTAGATTTAGGGTTAGGTTCATGATGGTTTATTATTTTTTAATGTGTATAAAATATATCATTCAAGTTTGAAGTTCTGACAATTTTTTTTACTTTCTAATTATTAAAAAAAAAAACTCCCTTGGGTCCTATTTACAGGATATATTCTAGAAAAAAAGTTTTATCCAAAGTATAAGATATTTTGTAATAATTGAACAATTTTTTTTAATTTTACTCTTTCTTGATTAATGTAAAAGTATTTAATATAGTTGTATCATTATTTAAAGTTTAGGGTAAAAACAAAAATACATATCATTTTTTATTATATAAAAAATTAACTTTTCTTAAAATTCATGAAACAATTGAAAATATCTTATAATAAAGATTGGGTGAAGTACACATTAGCTTTTTTCTTCCTCAGAAAAAATACATGACAGTCACTAACTAACACATCATTATATAATTAATAGTGTTATTGTCCACATCAGCATAATTAATACCGTTACGTCAACACTCCTCTAAAAGTGTAGAAACCTAAACTGTAGACGAAAAAAACTATAGGGATTTAGAATATCAAAATAAAGTGTAGAAACTAATAGCAAATCACGTGCAAAGTATATGGATTAAAAGTTATGTTTTTTCTGTATATTTTTTAAAATTTTAAAAATTATAAATTCATCATAATGTTAGAAGTTTTTTCTATCATTAATTATTAGCATTATGCAATTAAACATGAAAATATAATTAACACGTAGAAGCAAAATTAAATTTAACATTAATTTGAGTAAAAGTTAGCAAGCTAACCTTTTTTTTTAGGCTAGCTAAGAAATTATAAGTTAATTGAAGCAAAATGTAATAACAAGACAATAAAAGAAAAAAAAAAGTTAGGATTTGTCCTCAACTTAATAGCATAGTAACTCATAATTCAAAAAAATATATGGCTATATTGCTCATGCCTACTTAAAAATATTTCACTCAAATTAAATTGTGAAAAAGTCTTTGATTGAATACATATTATACTAATGCAATTGATTGGTCATGAATTTAAAAATATCTCAACTAATTAAATGTGATAAGTAATAATAGCAATATATAATAAACACATAATTTGAATTATTTTATTAATTTGAATAATAATTAGGGTATGAGAATTAAGAAAATGATTTTGAAACTTTTATCTTTTTTTAAAAAATAAGTGGGCCAATCAACGGGTTCAAACTATATAAAGCAAGCCAAAATCATCTCACATATAAATGAAACCTTTTTTTTTTTAAAACTCAACTTTTTTTTTTCTTTTGGATTGGTTGGTTGAGATATTATTAACTCTATTTGTAGGTGAGATGGTTACTAAGAGAGAAGGTATATCAAGGAAATTCATTTTTTTAAAATTATTATTGGCGGACAATTTTTTCAAAAATGCTCTTTTAATAGAAATGAAAGTAAAATTGGCACAGGTAGAGATGAAAATGAAGTTTAAAAATATATTTGTCATAAAAAAAAGTAAAATAAAAAAATTAATAAATATAGTTATATTTTGAAAAGATTAAAATATTCATAAATTTTTTTTTTTTAAAAAAAGCATCCTCTCCATCGTCTCCCAGGGCAACCATCCATCATTGTAGTCAGATTGAGCGCCACTGGCACCAAGAATAGTCCAGAAATCAAATCCAAAAAAGAAATCCTACCAAGAAGATTGATGAAGTATATTGAAGAGCCGGATCAAAGAAGCTCCATCCTCATCGCCGGAGACTGAAAGCCATTATCATCATTGAAGAAGCTTTGCATCGCTACCTCACCAATCATCACCACTATCAATATATACCAGAAAGTAGTTCCACCCAGCCATGCTTTAATAACCGGCTCTTGAGGTAAGATGTCGTTGTCATCAAGCTGTCTAAGGAAAACGGCTTTGTGAGCAGTGCCGGCTACAAAAATGGCTAGGGTTAGCCATTTAAAATTTTTGGGGCTTCATGTTTAATGCTTTGTTCTACAATACAATATGAATGAAGAAGATACATAGATAACAGCACTATAACCTGTCTCTGTTATTCTCTCATATTTGCACATCGGTGGAGCCGTCTTTCACTTTCGTGGAGTCGCATGTTCTTAACAAAGATCCACTTGAAGTGGTGTTAATGCTTCAACATGGCTACCCATTTTTGGGATGCAATCCATTAGTTTCTTCGATCTCGGGGGGGTTATGAATGCAAGTTTAAATATAATCAACGCATGTTCATTTTCTTCAAACAAATAGAAGGATCAAAGTCGTTCATTCTTTGTGCAAGATGGCTGTTATTAATGCTTGTGTTCATAAAGGAAGATGAACATCTTTTATTGTCTTTCATTTGTTTTGTCTATTCATATTAGGAAGTCAGGTCTTTTGGTTTATTTACACCCATACATAGAGGTTTGTTAAATCCATTAAATGCACCATTCGTTTTGTGTAAATAGAAGAGACGCTCTATAACTTTTTGGACAATGCTTTTCTTTGTTTTGTGTGAGCTTTCTTTGTTCTTCTTCACCAAGCTTATGCACGCAAGAATGGAGATGGATTTCGGGGACTTTGCCAGTCTCGATGCTTTAGGGCCTTCCTCTGGTGACTATAGGATCTTCGTGAAGGTGGATGGGGCTTACTTGAGGACAAACTTTGACGTGTATGACAGAGATATGGGGTGGCCAAAGAGGGTTCCATCTGTGGATTCCAATGTATTCGACCCTGCAGTGAGTTGTTTCGCCATCCTTTTTTAGTCATGTTAATCAAATATCCTCACTTGCATTTAAAAATCTTCACCTTTCCAAGGGACATGCATGATCAATCTCTGTTTTTGGAGATGCCAACATTAGGAGGTTTGTAATAGGCTTGAAGAGACAAAGACCTACTATATTCACTTTTTCAGTTAGGTCTGAAGGTCTTGGAGTGCATCGAAAGATTCACTTGGAGTTGGACGAGCACACCGAGATGGTGGAGCACTCTGTAATTCATTCCTTCCCATTGCTTCAAGGTGAAGCCTGTTCGGGAACTCAGGTATGAGTGGTGGGTTGAGTTGTGAGCACGCGATTAGTACATTCATTTAATTTTTTCTGTTTCCTTCACTGTATCAACAATGTCACTTCTGTGAAATTACTCTGTTAATTCTCTGATGCAGATGTTTGTGGTTTCTTGAAAGAGATGGTTATATACGATTGGTATGAAGATGGAGGTATGCTGACCTGGGGGCTGGAATTTGTAGTGGAGGACAGTCGGTTAAGTATCTCTTTCAGGAATAGTTTTAACATTTTTCTATTAACATCCTATGGAGCTTTGGACATGAAAGATTGTATCTTTCCATTTTCAGCAGCGATAAGCTCGAGTGCACTCTGTTTGGTGATCCTGCAATTGCTGCGTGGACCAGTTTTGGAGAGAAGAAAGATAAGCCTGACCTCATTGTGGTTGTTCACTACGCTCTTGTCAAGAGAGACTCCGGTAAGGTATTCTACATATGGAAAAAGATCACTTGTAGTTTTATAATTAACTATGCCTTTGGTTCATTATTCCTGAATCCTTCTCTTCCATTTTCGCAAGACTGACCTCCCTCACGAATTTTGCTAATGTAACGAAGGTATATTTGGACCCACAAATTCCTAAAACTTCATGATGTTCGAAGAGTCTTGTAGGCGAAGGTTAGTAGAGGTTGCCATATCATGTGAGGGGTATAGAAGTCATATTCAGATACCGTACATACCAATAGATGTTGGCTTTAAAATCCATTTCAAACCATCTGTGCTTATGGATCGTGCAATAGCTCAATGTTTTTTTTTTGTTATAGCTGGACTTATGTACATATTTGATGTTCCTTTTTTCGATAATGTTGAAATTTGGATCGGACTTGCTTTTCTTGGTTGGCGAAGCCTGTATGTGTTAACAGAGATGGTATATCTCATCATCTCTATTTAAAAAATAGAACTGCTATCTCCATGAAATTTTAACCCTCTGTTTTATATCCACCAATTTTAAAGAATAGCAGCGGATTTTTTTTTATTGTTTAAAAAAGACGTACCAATTTCTGAGCATCTCTAGCCATGAATTGGTTTTCTTCAATGCATCTGAATGATAATATTTCTTTTAAAAAATATTGAAAAGAAGCAAGAAGCAAGTGCCTAATTTCAATGAAAACTTAACATCCATCTGATAATGACTGATCTCATCATTATCATTTTTACAGATAATTAATTCAATTGATATTGTTTGCAGGAAAAAAAAATGAAATGACTATTCATTAATGAACCATGCCAAGCAAATTTGAAATAATAGTTTTATAATTAACAATCTGTCCAAACATTTGCCACGTGAAATTAATAGAGTGGAGCATTTAGTTATTATTTCAATAAAGCCAAAAATATTATCCAGATATATATGAGGAATTAACAAAGTGCATTCACGTTAATTTCATTTCAAAGCCATTAGTATGCGAAACATATGTATGTATGTATGTGTTTAATTGAGACATAAGATACAAAAAAAGTCTAAGCTAGGAATATGTGGAATGTGTGTGTGTGTTTGTATTTAATAGAAAACATAGATCACGGAAATGGTCAAATTTCACAGCTCAAAATTATATCAAGAATGGTATTTGGAAGGAATAGCCACATCACGTCTTTTTTTTTTTACATACATCCAAATTGTACCTTTATAGATAAATTAGTAATCGATAATATTTGTTTAAAAATTATTGTCGAGAAAAGAAAAATAGTACAAAAATTTGGTTGCTGACAATGAGTTCATTCGTTCTCATTATCATTTTTGGGCTTAAGACATTCTCTCACACACAGTTTTTCTAAAAAAAAAACTTGCGATTGGAGCGGGTTCCTTATTGCTCAAAATTATTTGTTTTAACAAGGTTGACAAGTGAATTATATGAAATTGAATTTTTGTATAGTTGATAAGGAAAATGGTCTCACATTTATTTATTTACAACATGTTGCACAATTTGATTACGACTAATCATTATCACTATTGGGTTTAAGCCTCTTTGTTCGTACACACGAATATTATTAAAAAAAGGCTTTATTGAACTAGCTTTCTTTGTTGGCCAAACTTATATGGATATAGTGATAAAGATCTTCACTTATGCTGACTTACTTCACTAATACCACTTGTATAGATATAGTAAAATGCAGTGCCTACCTACTGTAAAGTTGTCCTACGACGACATAGAGTATAAAGTTTACTTCATAATTCTTTTTATTTCAAGGCAAACTCTGTAGAGGGAATCGATTTTTTTTTCACACTTTGATCTACTTTTTCTACACCATTAATTTTGTAGTGCCATGCATGCACCATGGGATGTAGACTAGACATATAATTCTTAACAACAATAAACAAAGGTGGCATAATGGCATGGAAATCTGCTACTCGTAGTCTTCGTATATCATTCGTCTAGGTTTTTTCTCATATACCTATCTACTAGCATTGCTTCAGAAAGCAGACTGACTTCTCAGAGTATCTTGCCTAAATGCCTTTAACAGATATTTGCGCTCCTATCATTTTAATGGAAGAACAACATTTATTTTCTCTTATGAACGTAAAACTAATATATACACCAATATTGCTTATAGCTAACTTTTCCTAACACGTAGCACAAGGCTGTATATCTTATAAGTGAGTATAAGATCCTAGAAGGTTAAAGATTGACCGCGCTACTTTACTTGACTTTTTCAATAGAAGTTTTGCTGTCATGTTCTTCTTGTGAAAATTCTTACACCATCCTTGATACTTTGCGTGTGGTGTTTGATATTCTATCCTGTCACTATGCATCATTTACAGTTCTAGACAACTCATCCTGCCACCATTAGTAGTATGCATGTTTTGTTATCAGGCTTTTTACGTGTTGACCGATGATGTTAAGGTTATTTCACGTTTGAGGATAATTTCATTACCATATATATTTTTGCTTCAAATAATAATACTGAGTTATGTCATCAAGAAGGTAATTTCCATATTTTTTTGATTCTCTGAACATGTTTCTTTTTTTGTTTTCACGGCTCATATGCTGTCCTTGGATGAGACTTGCTTTCCACTTTTTGTTTTCAAGAGCCATTGTTTCTCACACCATATTCATTTGACATGGTTTAGCACTTCGGGGATCTTCTTCATGCATGCTTTCGGTCTGGTCTCTCATAATAATTTGTCAGACCGTAAGATATCAAACACAATACTAGGAATATTCTTCATGTTTAAAGCCTGTGTGGTTGCCTAAAGCAATGCTTTATTAAATGCACCTGTTTCTTATTTTGTGTTAGTTTCATATATGTACACTGAATTTCCTATCTTCAGGTTTTGGTTTTGAGAAACCAACGTTCTCTTCATTTATATTTTGCTTTCTTTTTTCACTTTACAGAAACACAGTGTCAAATCAGCTATTTGTGTTCTATGCAATGGTGCAACTTTGATTGATGTGTGGGTCAACAATCAAAAGTATACATGCATAATTAAAGGCAAGAACTCATATTTCATAAGGACTCATTTAGGTTTGCGTCATGTAAGTAATGTATCCAATATAAATTACTTATTAATAGAGGACATGTCATGCACATCATGTTATTTTTGCATGTGCTCCTACAATTGCTGACACAATTTCGTATAAATAATTAGTCATATTTTCCTCAACGATTCTCTGTTGAGTTAATTGAGTATCAATGAAATAAGAAAATTAGATTCTCATATAAATTATTCTCATTATAGCTTCTCCATGTGCTCATACAAATGCTTACCAAAATTCATATAAATAATGTCCAAAAAATTTAAGGCCATTCATTGTCACTGTATTTTAAAAATCTATCTATTACGATCTTATAACTTTAAAATTAATGGTTATGTTCAGATGCAATATTCAAGTTGATCATAATACATGCTAAGTCAAATTTATCATAATTGTTGGTTCCACAGATGACTTAATTTAAAATATTCTTAATTCTCAATAAATTCTCAAAGCAAAATTGATGATGAAAGTGAGATAAAAAAGTTTTCATCTATAGAATGAATATGAATCTTTGAGAGCAAATGGGCGTTTCGCATGCAAAGACAATAATTCCTCATCACTCTTTCATTTGTAATGACTATCAATAAAAGTCAAAGTCAATCACTAAGTTATGTTGGCTTGTACTTGCCAAAACCTGCTTTCACTCACGGTCAATTACATGTTGCTCTTTCTAGAGTGAAGACCATGGATGGTCTTAAGATTTTGACACATGATAGTGATAAACAACCAAAGTCTAAAACTATAAACATTGTTTATAAGGAGATTTTCTAAGACCTAACAAGAGGAGGAGGCAGATTGTAGTCCATTTTGTTATTGTACATGTTAGATAATGGAATCGGAGAGGTCAAGAGGAAGGTAGCCATCGTTCGAAGAGAAGAGGAAGGTAGCCGTCGTTCGAGGAGGAGAGAGGAGACTGGGTCCACTCATCGTGAGCTTGGAAAATGGCAAAAGTGAGATTGAGGGCAAAGATGGTAAAATGGAGGAGAAAATAAGGGAGGAACCCAGTTCTCTCAGGGTCTCGCCAAAGAATCAGTTCCGTTAGATTCCATGTAACCTAGTCATGAAAACCAAATATAAAAATTCATTGGTTTTTACTTGTAGGTCTCATTTGCCATAAAAGAAAAGCTTTTGATAAAATTGAAATTAAAATTAAAATTAAAATTAAATTTGAATTTGAATTAAATTTTAAAAGTGTATTTGGTATGAATAAGAAATCATGATATAATTTTAATTAGCATATGTATTTAAAATAAAAAATAAAAACACCCTTTATTTTATAAAATTTAGCAATTAAAAAATAAAGAATTTACTTTTAAAGCTTAAAATACCCTTTATTTTATTTTTTTAATGACATATAAGTTAATTTCATGTTGAGTTTGTCAAATTCATGATTTCTATAATGGAATTGGATTCCATCAATTTTGATGAAGCCAGATTCCTTTAAAAAAGCAATTCCAGCATATCAAACAAATCAACCAAACAATTTCATGTCTGGTTTCATTTCCTTACTCATAATTTTAAATACCAAACATGGCCTTACTTTTACTTCTCTCCCAATTCTTTACTACCAAATGAGCCATTAGGCCTTTTGGACTATAGCAATGATGATAATGATTGATGAAAGCTAATGGAAAATACAAGTTCATGTTATAAAGTGAGAATTACAACCAAAACCTAGCAAAAAAAAACTTATTTACAAATAAAAACAAATAATAAACTTCATTTAAAAGAATACAAATTCATGTTATTATTTTAATAACAATTCGTTTCATATTGATCATCATTTGCAAATATGTTTTTTTTATCATATCTTTAGATATGGTTCTCCCAATAAAAGAAGTGAAAAAAATTGCACATACTAATAAAAATCAATAATAAAACTTTACAAATTTATTTTTGAATTAAAATATAAATTTTTAAAAAGATTAATATGCAATTTAAACTTGAACTATAGGTTTAGAGACGATTTGAATATTAAACTTTTAAAAGATACATTCTGAACTTTTAAGAATTAAAGTTAGAGTAATTTCGCCCCTATCATTAAGTTTCAACAAACATCTACTAGTTTTTTTAAAAAAAATTGAGGCATAATGTATAATTTTTACCAAATTTTACTCACCCTCTCTCTCCTATCCTCATTTGAAAAAATTGCATATTAGATTCTATTTTGACGAACATTTAATGATCGTGTAAATTGTCTTAACTTTAATTTTTTAAAATTCAAGATGTACCTTCTAAAAATTTAATGTTCAAATCATCTATAAACCTATAATTCAGGGTTTAAATTACATATTTATCTCTTTTAAAATACCATTAATTTAATATCACTTTAAATCTACACATTTAATTATTACATTATAATTATTTCAATTCTCTCATCATTTGAAGGATAATAATAAGAAATTATCATTAAAAAAATCTTAATTTTATTAAATTTTTTTATATTTTGGGACAACAAAATACATTTAAAGTTGTCGTATATATTTTGACATTCGTAGATTCCTTCTTTGGTTTTCCCTGATGACGAGAGAGAATCTGGGTTGGAAGAACATAAGCCGAGATTGTGCTTACTCTATTTTGAATTTTGATTACATAATATAATGAACACTTTCAACAATAAAAAACTACTAAACAGAGCCGTGAACAATGTTATTACCATCGAGGCTTGTATTTTCTCAAGGTCGGGGGTTTTTTTTTTAAATATATTTAACTAAAAGAGTTCATTCAATCCTTATAAACAAGTTAACAATTGGCTCAGGTTTTAGCCAGTAAAATTGTTTTGTTGAAATTGTTTGATTTATTTTTTTTGAAACAATATATAAAAATGATACAATTATTTAAATTTAAATTATATATTAACATAATTAAAAAAAATTGATAATGTTTTATATTATATGTTGAAACAATTATTTAAATTTAAATCATATTCTCTCCTTCCCTTGTAAAACCTTAATACTATGTTTGTAAGAAGGAATGAGAAAGTGGGATTGGGATTGATATTAGACAATTCTACATTTTCATGTTTGGTATGAAGGAATGAGAATTTTAATCCCAATACCAATCCCAGCTAAGTGGGATTACTCAATACCATTATCCCATGATATTGAAAAATCAATCTCAAGATTGATTATTTTTAAACTAAATTACCCCCATTATCTCTCCATCATCTCCTTCCCTCTGCCTACTCCTCCTTCGTCTCAATGTCGTCTCTTTGCCCTTGCCCTCCTTTTAGCGCAAGTAATGCCAGTGTCTCCTCTGCCCTTACCAGTCTTCCATCCACCAATGTCATTGTCAGATTTGTAGGGAGAAGGAGGACATTGAAGATGAGAGAAGGAGGAGAACAATCGACGACCTCATTTGTAAAATTGATTTGACCTCGAGCTACGGCCACCAAATCTTGCCACCGTCATTAATTTCACCGTCATCTACATCCTTGTCGTTCTCATTTCTTAGTTCAAACTAGAAGGAAAAAAAATAGAGGAGAGGGCGGCAATGAGGTTCTCTTGTGCAGCCATGGGTGTTCTTTTTGGGGGAGAAGAGCAACAAGAAGAGGAAGAAGACGATGAGGATAACCAATGAAAGCATTTCTTTTGCGGCCATGGACATTCTGTTTTAAGGGGAGGGAAGTGTTCTGATGATAATGACGTAAATATTCAATTTATATTTTGAGGGGTAATATACTAATTTTATATTTTTGTTTAATTATAAAATAAAATAAAAGTAAGTATTCCCTCCTAATATTACTCCATACCAAGTATAATTTTAAAACTTCATCTCCAATTCCAACCCCAATTTCAATTCTTTTAAATTGAGATCTACGTACCAAACAAGGCTTAAAGGGTTAGATTTATAAGAGTCAAGACAGCCCCTAGAGGCAGAACAAGGATAAGAAAGAAGGGGGCCAAATGTCAATAAAAAATAATTAAATACATACATAAGTATGTATAATTTTTTTATATTTAGAATAAAGACTATATTAAAATAATTTTATAATACGGAAAAACTCATATGATATGAATCATTTAAAATTATATGATTTTTTAAAAAATATAAAATATAAAGTTAAGTCATATTATTTTTTATACATATAATAAAAAATTTAAATAACTACATGCTTGATGTACTTAAGCTATTATTAACGAATATTATATGCAAGTTAAATAATAAAAATAAATTTATTTTGATAATTACTCAATGTTTATAATAATAATTTATTCATGAAATGTATTTTTTCCAAACAGTCTAATAAAAAAAACTAACATATATAAAATTAAGGGTTAATGAACATCCTATATCCTAAACTATTGTGTGAATAACATCTTAGATTCTAAATTTCTAAAATATGTAAAAATTTCTCTTAATTTCTAAATCCTGAGTGCTTGAAATTTTGTCATTAAGTTAGAGAAAACAACTATTATTTTTAAGGGTCAACATGAAAGCTATATTAACATGTGATTGGGGTCTCACAACTACAAAAATAATGACAACAGTGACACTTCATGCACTCTAAATTTAGAAATTAAATGAAATTTTTGTATATTTTAAAAGTTTAAGATATAAGATACTTATTAATCTTAAAATTAATATTACGCTTGAGAGAGGGTAATTTTTTATTTTTTTTTTATGGGATGGAAGGCCAACTAACCCAACACAAAGCACACCCTATACAATACACACACACACACACACACGAAAGTGGCAGTGAATTTTATTTTATTTTTTTCCGGTGCTTGTGCTTATTTTAATCTGCTGGTGTCATAATAAAAAAAATGAAATTAAAATCAAAAGTGCAACATAAGCTAAAGTATGTGAATCAATTACATAAAATTAAGACATGAATGTTAATGATTGGCATCACCGATAATTTTTTTTTTCCTTATTTCTATTCTATAACTTCCCTTTTTATATTCAAACATATGCTATGAACATCTTTTTCTATTTTTTTTCTACACAGATAAAAGCACGCGTGTGCAAACATATTGGTTTCACAAAACTTTTTTTTTTGTTCTGCTTTGTTTTTTTTTTTAAAAAAAAAGAGACTAGGCAATAGACATCCTTCTGGAAAGCTTTATTATCAAGTCTTTCGCAGCCGTGGAAACTGGAGTGGGACCTACCTACCGAAGTATAAATATTTTAAAAACTAAATACGATTGATTAGCATAATGATGATATTATTGGAGCTTTTACTTTCGTTACAATTTGTAAAGTTAAAATTCAGATGTAAGAGATTTCACAAGGCAATGGGAGAATTGTGCTCCAATTAAAAGTTGGGTGAGGAACACGAAGAGAATTCATCTATAGAAAGAACCAAAACTAGTAATTAATATAAATCTATACAGATTGTACAATGATAGAATACAAATAGGAATGAATCTCTACAATCTTTAGAACCAGAATTGTTGATGCCCCACACGGCAATTTCATAATTGGAATTGAATATATGTATATAATGTTACAAACAAGTATTTTGAAACACATCAATAATCTTGCTATGATTGATATCTTGTCCAAGACAAGGAAGATGCAAACTCTATGGTTAAACTAAATTACACGTATAATTAAGATTGGGAATCACGAAGATGCAATCTTAGGCTCCGACTCTGCCAACCATTTCCAGACAGTGAGCAAACCAGTTCCGTCTCCAGTGAAGAAGAGTCCACCAGGGCCTTCTTCTATCACTCGAATCTCTTTTTTTGAAAATAATCTTCCTCTCGCACTGAATCTGATCAAATAACACAGAAACACAATATGAGCGTCTGATATATATGTTAACATGCAAACGACCACCACAAGTCTTATCACATTCAGGAGGATCGACTGCATAGACTGCACGATATTATCGTGCTCTATGATCAATCAACCAAAATATACAATATTAAACCAACATAAAAAAAAAAAAATGGAAACATGGATCAAGTCAACTCACGATGGCATTTCATACAGCCCGACTGAGTTGTTGTTGCACGAGCAAAACAAAATGGGTTTCGCCTTTGCATCAATCATGCCGTTAATTCTAACCACGCCCTGCAACAGCAACAAAAACCTTACATTAGAGGGATTTCAGAGAAAGAAGAATTAGCAGTGGTTCAATACCAATTGTTATTACTTGAGATGTAAATGAAGTTTTAAAAGCAATTCCAGATCGGCAATAATTTATATACTATTTATCAACATAAACTCACATGTTCTTCGTGGTGAGTATACACTACTTCCAAAGTTTCTTCTTGAGTGGCGGTCCAAAGCTTAACTGTGCAGTCCAATGAACTTGAGAACAAATATCGGTCCCAACAGATAAGAGATGTCACCACATCAGTGTGCCCTTTCAACGTCATCGTGCATTGTAATGTCTTGAGGTCCCAAACCTGAAAAAACATGAAATCAATTAAGAAACGAATTCAACAACATAAATGTGTGTATGTGTGTGTGTAATTTCAATATATATATATATATATATAATCCCAGTTTTATTTCAAATGAGCTCAGTTTTCAAACTACAATAATATTAGACTATAAAACAATATTTTTTAAGAACATTTAAGATACGAAAATATAAAGAGAGAACTACAGCTTATCAAATGCTGTAAAAGACTACATAATCTGTCCAAACTAGTTCTATAGTAAGAAAGTATTACATATCCTTAACAAAACAAGACAGGGGGTTGGCGCCTAAAATATGGATAATCTTTTCATTTACAGTCATATATACCTTTATGCTATGATCCATGGAACCTGAGTAGAGCTTGTCCCCTGGTCCGCCAGTTAAGCAAACAACAGCTCTGCTATGGCCATTTAACGTTGCCAGTGGTTTGAATGGGACATTTGCATCAGAGATGGCACTCCATGCATAAATAACACCATCCTATATATGACATAAGGGCAAAGTGAGATCATAATAGAATCAGGTTTACATATAACATAGAAAAGAACTTGGTAAAACATTTAATAAACAATTAATTACCATTGCTCCAGCAAAAAGTATATCGTTGCAAACAGCCATGGAAAGTACATGGCCCTTAGGTCCATCAAGAGTGAGCTCAGCAGCCGTCTGAATGTTCCAAGCCTTCATAATAATTAATCACAACAAGACAATCAGTGTAAGTAAAGTTAAGCATGACGCATGAAACCTAAGAGACACAACAAATGAAGAAGTTTTGGAGCTCACTTTAACAGTATTGCTCACACCAGCAAAAACCCACGAACCCGCACTGATCAAACACCTTGCTTCAGCACCCAGATTTATAAGTTTAACACATTGACCCGTATGGCAGTCCCATACGCGAACTGTCCCATCAGTGCTACTGGAAAATAGTTTGTCCGATCCAACCGGAAGTTTAATTCCGGTGACAGTCTGGAGTGATGATTAATTTAAAGTTTAGATAAAATGATAAAAACAAATGTTAAGAATTGAATAATGGAAGAAAAATGAATACATTAATATAATGATTATGATTGGACATTACAACAAGAGTACTCCCTTGAAGGATTTACAACAACAAATCATCTGATGTACAAACCCCAACCAATGGGGACTAACTATGAGGGATTACAATTAATCTTCCGACCAAAATGCCTAGCCTTAATCACTAACCATGATTAACCAATTTATGAAGTCAATACCTTCTTGTGTTGATGGAGCTTAGTGAGCGGAGAAACGGCATGGCCCCGAAACCAGGAATGCAAGTTCCAACAACGATCACCATGTGCGCAATTTCCATTGATCCAGTACTTGCAAACTGTTGCCGATGAATGGGGTTTGGGGTTAGAGGATCTTGCGCCATTATCAGCTTTGCCAGTACGTGCAGTTGAAGTTTGATTGTGATTCTGCAGAAACCTTGAGGGATTTCTGATATCCCTATAACAAGGAACCGGATGACCTCTCCTTGCGACCCTTGCATTCATTCTCGCTATCTTACGATCTCTCTCTCTCGCTCTCTCACGAAGTCACGATCACTCTCTCTTGTCACTCGCTCTAGACTTTTTCACGCAGTTCCTCCTCGCATCCCTCGTTCTCTCTTTATAGCCAAGTCATTTAGAATTTTAAATCTTAACAAGATATTTCAAATATATCCAAAATCCTGAAACTTCGGTTTTATGTTCAATATTTTTAAATTTTATTGATTATTATCGATGATAACTTTCAACCAATTAGATATGTTTGATCTCCCGAAGAGATTTGATGGAATTTATCAAACATAAATAAAATCCTATATGACTTAAATCCTATATTTCTTTGGATTTTTATTATAATTTTCAACAATGTTTTTATTTGTCTTTATTTTAAATTGAAAATGAAATACTAATAATATTAAATTCACTGCAATGACCAGATGAAGACTGAAAAACCACAAAAATTAAATAAAAATCTTTTCACCTTGCATGCTTCAACTTTATTGTTATTTTCAGTACATCTGTATGTCCAGATAAAAACAGATCCTCTAATTAAAAAAAAAAAAAAGATCTTCTTGAAGTTAAATGATCGCAAATCCATCCTCTTTTTCTTTTTCTTTTTCTTTTTTTTTTGCCAAAGATCTCAAATCTATCCTTAGAGAAGGAAAATTTAATCTTAAATTTAATATAAATTTTAAGTTATTAAATGATCTGCCAACATATCTCACATAATCAAAGTTCAAAATAAAACATCAAATAAATTTTTTTTGATATCATAATATATATATTCACTATCTTTTTTTTCAAGGTATTTATGTTTTTGAATATAATTTTATAACGACTACCAATCAATTGTATTTAAACGTCTTATGATAAATGAATTATCAATTTAAATCAAAGTACAATTACCAGATTGTAAAATTATTAAAAATAGGCATTAAAGTAAATTAAAATTGGTATCCGTAATTCTGAACTTTTAAGATGTTTTTGTTAAGATTTTCTTGAATAAATTTAAATTTTATATCATTGAATAGTTATCCATGTATCCAAACCTTAAGTCCTTAAATAGTAAAATAAATCTTCAATTTCAAGTTCAAAATAAAATATAGTAGAAAATATTTAACTACTTTTTATCTAATGGATATTTAACATTTTAAAATATAAAATTACGTTGTTTAATAAATAATTAAATTCAAACTGAAATATAGATACTATATTAGAAACTAAATAGATTGATATTTTTGAATTGTGAATAAAATGATTTAATTTTTAACGACAAACATGCTAAGTTTTGCTGTCATGATATTTTAAATAAATTCATTTTTTTATCATTTGTTTTTTTTTGTCCGAATTCTATCATTAATAGTCAACAAATGATCTTTTGGCTTTTGCGTGATTTAATCCAACTACCACGTTTTACCTTACAAAGCCTAGGTCTTCAGATTTAACCCATCTATCACAGTTATTAACTTCCCAACAACCCAAATAATAATCATTAAGCCTCAAAACACCCATATGATTACAATCTAGGGGTTGGGATTACTTAAAATTCAAAACTCTAATCTCAAACATCATTTGAAACCATTAAAAGAGAAAAGATAGAAGCTAGAATGAGATTGAGTAGCTTACCTTGAGTGGTTTGAGTCCTAAAAACATGCCCTGAGCTTTAGTGTAACATCCCAAAATTTTAAGAGTCAGATTTAAAAAAATATAATAATAAAAAAATAATAAAATATCTATAATTAAATTAAAATTTAGAATAATTTGATAGAAGTCCAAAGTTTGAATTTTTCTCAGCAAAAGTTTAGTTTTATTTTATCTTTAACTATGAAAAAATTACTAAAGTTAACCTAGGCTTTTGTGTTATAATAAAAAATGCTGGGCCATTTCTTATAATTTTTTCTAAAGTGTTTAGATCAGCAATTTTAAGACCAAAATGAACGCAGAAACATAAATGAAAAGGAAAGAAACAAATGTGCAAGAGAGAGAGGAAGAAGAGAGGAGAAAGAGAGGGAGTTTAGACTTGGATCTAAGAGGCTTTGCGATCATTGTGAGCTCGACTACATAATATATAAACTCCTTACTTCAATTCTCTTCATTCTCTCTTGATTTTCTTCAATTTTTGGAAGAGAAAATTTCTGAATTTTGATCCCAAAGGCTTGATTCTTGTAAGTTTTGGTTTCTTTAGATCCTAGGAAGGATGTTTTTGAGTTTCTATACAGTGATATAATGTTTTGAGTTGATAATTGGATGAAAAGAGGTGGTTTGGGCACAAATTAAACCCCGAGAGATTAGGTTTTGCTCCTCAATGATTTAAGTCTATTGATTTAGTTATAACTTGCTATTTGAGCTTAATAAAATTTAAATTAAGGTTTGGTTTTCATTATAAGGGTTAATGGTGAAAGTTGGTGACATTAAGTGAAGGTTTTTAATTGATTAAAAATTATATGAATTGAAAATTAATATAGTGATAGCTAATAAATAGTTTTGGTGGCTAAGTGATACTATGTAAATGGTTGATTTAATATATGGACCATTAGGATGGATTATAACTCATTAACCCAAGTTGTGTGGTATGAGTTATAGTTTTCATTAATACTATTTGTCATAATAAGTGATGTGGATCACTTATATGTTGTAGAAAATTGTTGGTGAAATTTATTGAGAAGTTAAGGAACAAGCCAAGTTCTATTTTATACAAGAGGAACTCTTTTGATACCAAAGGGTTAAGGTAACAGAAAAAATTTATATTTTTTATTGCTTTGTTTAGCTATTGTTGAGTAGATAATATTATCTAGCATGCATCACATGTTTTAAAACAATTGAATGCAAATAAAATGTATTTTAGAAGGGTTTATGGGGTATTGCTTTAACAATAATACATCTATGTTTACTATCTATTTAATAATGATGTTACTTATGAAAATAAGATTATTAGCATGCGTTGTGATAAAAAAATAAGGAATTGCACTTAGGGAAGTGCAACTAAGTTTGGTACCTTAGATAGTCTAAGGAACCGCTTAAAGGATGAATTATGAGTGTTATATTACCTTGAGTGTTGAAGTGGTTAATACTTGGGAAAGGTAGAAAAAGGGTATGAGACATGATCTCGCTGGGAGTTCACCAATGGAGAGATGTGGTCTTGTGATATTTATAGCTCACTGTCAGTACTCAGTGTTGCCTTTCATAGTGTGGTCTCAATGCACAAAAGTGGTTAGTGGATTGAGTGTTCAACACCTCTCAATGGGAGAGAGAATCCGGTATATAAAGTATGAGGTTGAATGTCTAGGCCAAGGTAACCCTCACATGGAGAGTAAGTCGGGCTGGCTCTAGGAGGGAGTTAGCTCTGATTGCTCAGGATTCATGTCGAAGGGGTATAGGCGGTTCAGTGGATTAGATCATGCCTCGGTTTATATGCTGTGCTTGTGGAGGTACAATAGGTATAAGGTTTATCTATAAGCTAAAGAGTGCCAAGGGGCATTCTATTGGCCAGGAAAGGCTATATTGGCCTATCTCATGTATTCAAGTATTTTAATTGGTTAATTACATGTTATTTTGAATCTATTATTTATTTACTTGACTATGGCTTTTCATGTAATAAGGAATATTGATTTCTCTGTTATTGAAACTGTGGTTGTCTTATCCCTTTCTTTTCAATATTTCTAGGTCCAAGCGAGGGAACCAGTGGAGGATGGGGAAAGGAACAGAGCTAGGGGTTGTTTATGAATTGTAAAGAATTGCAACTCCTTTCTTTTGAGCAAATCTATTATAATATATTTAGGATTAGGGTGCCAGTAGGATGTGATTATATATGTGTATGTGAGTATTTGTGGATTGTATAGCTTGTGTATGAATTTTTATTTGTTTGTAAACTTGTGGCTAGGAAACTTGGCTATAGTGGTGGTTTTTGATGGATTTATTTAATAGACCAAGTTTCTACTATAAGAAAATATTTATTTTGGTATATATGTGATTCCATAAGCAAATGCAAACTGTTTATATTGCAAATGGTGTGCTATAGGCAAATATACTTCTTAGATAGAGAGAGTGGGTGCATGGGCCCTATAAAGATCTCTGAGCTAAGTGAAAATATTTAGCATGTGTATTCATATGTGTATATAATATTTAGAATAGTTTTTGGCCACTCTTGTATGATTTGTGCATTTTGGGGGTTTATGGTCCATTTTGAGAAATGGCATTCGGGTGGTCAAATTTTGGTATAAAGAGTTTTTGTATCATTTAAATGTTCTATCAAGTGTTTTTAATCCTATTTGACGTGTCCAAAGTGTTCCCACAGATTTGTGACCATTAGGATGAGATTTGGACAATTTTGAAAATGGTTTTTATCAAAAAAACTACACTTTTGCATTTGAGTGTTCAAATCTTAATCTGACCATTGGATTTCTCTAAAATTTAGGTCACAAGTAAAACCTTTTATAAGCTTCATGTAGGCTTTGGAATCATGTCAATCGGACACCGGATGGAGAAACGAAACACTCCAGAATTTGGTCCGGAGGAGCTGTCATGACAGCAACAGTGATGATGTTGCAACATGCACAAAATTCAATCCATCCGTTGGATCTTTTCAAAATTTGATAGGCTAATAGTACTCTTTAAAAGTAACATGTGGGCTTTAGAATTACTTTGATCGGAGGTCAGATAATAAAATGGTGCACTCCTGAAGTTAGTCCAGAGGTGCTATCATGACAGCAAAAATAACCAAATTTGTAACATGTCTAATTTTTAATCCGACTGTTGAATCTTTTTGAAATTTGGTACACTTATAGTACCCTTTGAATGTGATGTATGATTTTTTAAAATTACTTTGATTGGAGACCAAATAATAGAACACTGCCTCCTAGAAGTTGGCTCGGGAGGGCTACTACGACAGCATTCTGTCATGACAGCATCTTTTTACCCCGCTTTTGCCTAGCTTACTTCCATATGCTATAAGTAAAAACCTATAAGTTATTTTTTAAAAAAATTAGTTTTAATGTTTATTTTGCAATCGT